GTGAGGACTTCCAGGAAACGTCTGACCTCTGTCATTGCATCCAACAAAGGATATATAACAAAGTATTGACATGAACTTTTCATATTCACCAAATACTTATTTTCCACCATAATTTGCAAATAAATTCTTTCCAGATCAGCCAATGAGATTGTCTGGATTTGTTTTCTCATTTTGTCTCTCATAGTTGAGGTCTCCCTATGATGCCAATTACAGGCCTCTCTCATCTCTGTAAGTGGGAGAACTTGTACCATTGGTGGACTAAATACTTTTTTGCCCCACTGTATATATATATATATATATCTCTATCTATAAACGTAAATATAGATCTCACACACACACAATATATATATATATATAAACGTAAATATATATCTCACACATACATACACACACAATATATATATATATATAAACGTAAATATAGATCTCACACATACGCTCTCATCTACCCCGTCTGACTGAACCTTTGAAGAAAGCTTTGTAAATACGGACCGAGGACGCGGCCTCTGTATGGACCAGTAAACGTTTGTCTGCCCACAATGACATAGAAAGTCCCAGCGGTGTCACCTCCATTCAATGGCTTGCTGGTATACGCCGTATATACTCAGTCACAGATGACTTCTAGGCGTGGCCTTTGTTGCGAAAGGTTTTGTCCTTCGGTGCATTAAAAGCGCCGTTTTCCCCCGAAGTTTCCATAGGAAAAGGAAATCAATGATTTACTGCAAGCAGAGAGTATTTTCGGGGGGGGGGGGGGGGGGGGCGTACGCACGCGGAGACATTTGTAAGCCGTTTATATGTCACGTTGTATAGAGTGTACATTACATTGTAACAGGTTTTCATACTCCATAGAGGCTCCCTCTAGTGGGCAGCCCAATCTCAGGCAGTAAACGAGGCATCCATGCTTAACGTCTGCTGCTCTGTGGTTTTTGGGGTACAAGACATGCAGCAAGTTGTAGCCCAGCATCTCGTCATCCCTGGGGAGCCGCATTGGAGACCACGTAATGCAAACCATACCAGAGTACTGCCAGAATTCCCGAAAGTCAACTGTCTATGATGTGTATACATTGCAGGTAAACTCATTGCTGGGGAGGCAGAATCTGGGGCAAGTCTGCAGAGGAACCAATCAGCTTCCAGGTTTTATTGCCAAAGCTTCATTGAACAAGCTGAAGGTAGAAGCTGATTGGCTCCCATGCACAGCGGCACCGGAGTGCTCCAGTTTTTAGTAAATCCCCCCCGTAGTATTACACACAATAACATCCATCTTTATGGGTAACAAAAGGAGAATAGCTCAGTCAACAGGTATTTATTTATTTATTTCAGGTACTTATATAGCGCCATCAATTTGCGCAGCGCTTTACATATATATTGTACATTCACATCAGGCCCCGCCCCCGAGGAGCGTACAATCTAAGGCCCCTAACTCCCATCATACATACACATACTAGGGACAATTTAGACAGGAGCCAATTATCCTCCCAGCATGTCTTTGGAGTGTGGGAGGAAACCGGAGTACCCAGAGGAAACCCACGCAGGCACAGGGAGAACATGCAAACTCCAGGCAGGTGGTGCCGTGGTTGGGATTCGAACCGACGACCCGAGTACTGCCAGGCGGGAGTACTAACCACTGAGCCACTGTGCTGCCCAGGTAATCTAACATGCAATTGTTACACAAAGGAGGTGATTTACTAACACTTGAGTGTAAGATCAGGTGCCGCTCTGTATGGGAACCGATCAGCTTCCAGGTTTTATCACCAAAGCCTGTTTGAACAAGCAGAAGTTAGAAGCGGATTGGCTGCCAAGCTGCCCCTGATTTTGCGCTCTCCAGTTTTAGTAAATCAACCCCAAATCATCGTGTAATTTGGTGCCATTAAAAATCAAACTTTATATAAAATTCTTGCGGCAACTAAATACATTTCTTGAACTTCTAAAAAATAATTTGCTTCCTTGCCACCATGACAACGGCCCTCAGATACGGGGAGCCAGAACTACAAAATTCCTCCCTCGTTAGACCGGCTTTCCATCAGAAGCCTGCAGAGCAATGGAGGTCTCCAGCAGCGACTTCAGGTTAATTGCATCAAACTTTTCAGCTGTACGATAAATACCTTTTTCTCAGCAAAGGTAATACTCAGGTAATATTATAAGACTGTGATGACTAAAAAGCCCAACCCACTTTAAAATAGCCCCGCCCTTCCCATTTAGCCCCAATACGTAGTCTCCAGGGTACTGGGGTACATAGACTTGGGGCTTGCACCTCCTGAAGGCAGCATCTCCATCTCATACATCTCAGTATTGTTAGTTCTTCAAAAACTCGACAAAACTTTAACATATTCTTGTTGCCTGTTTCCTACAGAAATGTCCGAACCGCACCAGAGACAAGTTCCAGAAGGCAGAGAAATTAAAGAAACTATTTTTGGAGACGGTGCCGGTGCTGCAGTGGAAGAAACATGCTCAGGAGTCCGAATATGAAAGACTTCGGAAATATGATGGAGCCCAGGGTTGGATGGGCGTCACATGGCAGAGTAAGTGACGGACAATCCGAGACTGGCCCTCGGATGTGCAATTTATTCATCGTTTTCATATAAGTCTGAAAGATGATTCAGCTGTTTACCAAGATTTGTGATCCAGGAGACCCTATTGAGATGGCCATCAGATTAGTCAAGACTTCTTTGACAATGGCCTCAGAATCCATGGGCTTCCAGGCCTGTGGGGAGAGATTGGCCAGCACTGATTTGCTCAGGGCCTCCTCTCAGAGCTCCAGTGGAGAATGAAGAACCTGTGGAAGATGCTCAAACCACATCAGGCAGGTCCAATGTTTGTAGTCACCTGACCATCATATCTACCTATATATTCAAGAGTATGTAGACACTCCCACAAATTATGAAGTCTCTAATGAAGGGTGCTACATTATACAAAGACATTGTAGACAATTGTGCCCTTCCAACCTTGTTGTAACAGTTTGGTTACCCCATGTCTGTCCCCTGTTGTAACAGTTTGGTTACCCCATGTCTGTCCCCTGTTGTAACAGTTTGGTTACCCCATGTCTGTCCCCTGTTGTAACAGTTTGGTTACCCCATGTCTGTCCCCTGTTGTAACAGTTTGGTTACCCCATGACTGTCCCCTGTTGTAACAGTTTGGTTACCCCATGACTGTCCCCTTTTGTAACAGTTTTGGTTACCCCATGACTGTCCCCTGTTGTAACAGTTTGGTTACCCCATGTCTGTCCCCTGTTGTAACAGTTTGGTTACCCCATGTCTGTCCCCTGTTGTAACAGTTTGGTTACCCCATGTCTGTCCCCTGTTGTAACAGTTTGGTTACCCCATGTCTGTCCCCTGTTGTAACAGTTTGGTTACCCCATGTCTGTCCCCTGTTGTAACAGTTTGGTTACCCCATGTCTGTCCCCTGTTGTAACAGTTTGGTTACCCCATGTCTGTCCCCTGTTGTAACAGTTTGGTTACCCCATGTCTGTCCCCTGTTGTAACAGTTTGGTTACCCCATGTCTGTCCCCTGTTGTAACAGTTTGGTTACTCCATGTCTGTCCCCTGTTGTAACAGTTTGGTTACTCCATGTCTGTCCCCTGTTGTAACAGTTTGGTTACCCCATGTCTGTCCCCTGTTGTAACAGTTTGGTTCCCCCATGTCTGTCCCCTGTTGTAACAGTTTGGTTACCCCATGTCTGTCCCCTGTTGTAACAGTTTGGTTACCCCATGTCTGTCCCCTGTGTACAACAACAGCGCCATTAAGACATGGATGACCAGTTTGGAGTCCTGTACAGAGCCCTGACCTCAACTCTACTTTTAATATAAGGCCCTTTTATCCAACATCCGATATCAGTACCTGCCCTTAACCCTTCCAAACGTCTTTCGGATGAGGTCTTCTTAGCCCAAAGGTGTTCATAGGTGTGAGGTCATGAGGAACTCGAGTGTCTTGAACAGAACCTCAACCTTACTGAACACCTTTGGGATGAATTGGATGGCCAGTTGTGAACCAGGTCTTCTCATCCAACATCAGTATCTGACCTCACAAATGTGCACAAATTCCCACAGACATCCTCCAAAATCTTGTGGAAATTGTTCCTAGAAGAGTGGAGGCTTTTCTATCCATGAAGAGGAAGCAACCTTATATTCATGTCCATGGTTTTGGAATGGGAGGTCCAAAGATATCATATAGGTTTCCAGGTGGACAGGGGTCCACAAGCCTTTGGTCATAGGGCATATTTTTGTGGATAGAGTTTGAAGGCAATCAAAGGTCATTTGGCAGTGGACCAGCTGTCCAGCCTTAGCTCATATCACAAGTTCATCCAACTAAAACAACCTCGGGGAAAAAAAAACATTTCATGAAGTGGGAGATTAGTCTTGGTGAGTCTGAAGAGTTGACTTCATCCTGGACATCCTGGTGATCATGACTATATCTGTAGTAAGAAGCATGTTTGTTTTTTACCTTGACATCTCATGTTACTGTATCTTTGCAGTTCTGAACGAAACGCTCAACTTGATGAACTCCACGGGCAATGGTTATATGTTCGACACCTGGAAGGGGACTTCCCCCTGTATTCGTTGTGCCGTGGTAGGCAATGGTGGAATCCTGAATGGATCTAGAGTGGGCAAAGAGATTGACAGCCATGATTACGTCTTCAGGTATTTCTGTGAAAGCCGCAGTCTACCTTTTATAGTCATAATATATTTCTCGTGTATTTTACATTTTCTAAATCCTATCAAAAGTCAAATGCCTGACAATATACAATTGTGGGGACTTGGGTTAGGTTTGATTTCTGTGACTCCACTGAGGAGATCATGTCTCATACCCGGTGTCCAAACCATCAGGACATAAGATGGGGGAACATTTGTCATAAGGATGAGGGATCCACAGATGCAAAAATGTGACGTGCGAATTTAATTGTTAGAGGTAAGTACTCCAGTCAGGGGTTGGCATAGCAGACGTTTATCGTTTTTATCCTCCAGGATAGAGGTCAGTTCTTCAATAACAAATGTCCTGGATTTTAGATTCAACTTCCTCAAAATTAAGAGATGGAGACTTCCATGCACAAGCAATGGTTAAAGGCCATAAAAATATGTGTAATAAGAGGATTCTCTGCTGATTGGTCCATGGAGAAGAGCTTCCTATGGAGCCTTACAAATGTTAATGTGTATGAATGAGTTGATCATGTTGTGTAGACCAGGGCTTGTCAGCCAGGGTTCCTCCAGGAGGTTTCTAGGGGTTCCTCCAGGAGGTTTCTAGGGGTTCCTCCAGGAGGTTTCTAGGGGTTCCTCCAGGAGGTTTCTAGGGGTTCCTCCAGGAGGTTTCTAGGGGTTCCTTGAGCAATGAGCAATTCTGCCTCTCAGATAAGGGGGTAATTGTTCCCAATGACCACCAGTGTAAGAAGCATTCTTCTGAATGACCATTTATTTATTTATTTATTTCAGGTACTTATATAGCGCCTCAATTTACATATATATTGTACATTCACATCAGTCCCTAACCCTCGCTTCTCGGCCTTTTGGCTAAGATCAAGTGTAGTATCTGTTCTTATCAGTGTCCAGTGGGGGTGCTCCCGGCCATTCTAGCTTTGCGGGGGTGGCTGTTGTATAGTACCCTCACTGGTATGATGGGGGTCCGGAAGGCTAGTACCGGAGGGACAGAAACCAGGGAGCGCCATTATTCGCTCTGGGGCCTCAGGAGTAATTCCTCCGAGAAGACTGGAAAGACCCAGTACCTCCTGATTTGGACGGATCTACCTTGGTCTGGCCAGGGGCTGAGGACGCAAAAAGTCCGCAAACTCAGTGCCCCCTGAGTAGTCGCCTCAGGGGTGTCACTAGTAACACTTGGGTGTGGGACCCCACGGTGTGAAGATGGCACATGGTCACTGTTTTTCACTCTTTTTGCACAGCGCCCTAAGGACCAGGTCTTTTGGCTAAGTCCAGGGCAATTTTTGCTACGGGCCTCAGGGCCTGGTCTGTGCACTATTTGGCACGGTACCTTTTTTTTTATTTTCTATTTATTTATTTATTTAATTTATTTACACCTCCCACGTTTGTCACTTTTTCTTTCGCTTATGTGCGTGTTTCACGGATGGAGGGTGTGGGTCCTCGGGCCTACCCTGAAGTCTAGGGGGAGGATGTGTGGCCTTTTGGTTCCTTCCTCCCCTGATCCCTAGGGGGCTTTTCTTCGGGAGAGCCCCCTGACCAAGTACTGAGTGTCTGGCTTCGGATGGACACAAGGAACGGTGGTCCACCAGGCCTTTTGACCAGGAGGACCAATTGGGAACCTTGTCCCCGTCAGGAGCTTCGTGCCCCGGGGGATCAGGGTAAGCGGTCCAAGCCCCTTTAGGGGCAGGACACAGCACACCCCTAAGTGCACTTTTTCATGTGGTGTTTTGCACTTGCACATTTTTTTGTGAACACTTACGGGTTTTTTTCGTTATAGTTGCACGTTTGCGAAAAAAAAAAAAAAAAAAATCAGTCCCTAACCCTCAAGGGGCGTACAATCTAAGGCCCCTAACTCACATTCATACACACACATACTTGGCTCCTGTCTAAATTGGCCCTATTAACCTACCATCATGTCTTTGGAGTGTGGGGGAGGAAACCGGAGTAACCGGAGGAAACCCACGCAGGCACAGGGAGAACATGCAAACTCCAGGCAGGAGGTGCCATGGCTGGGATTTGAACCAACGACCCGAGTACTGCCAGGTGAAAGTGCTGACCATTTAGCCACTGTGCTGCCCATGCATTACCCTAGGTTCTCGTAAAGTGTGCTGGAAAATCTACAGCGGCCGCATCACACTAATGTATCAGGAGTTGTAGATACAGTATAGTAATTTTAGGGGGGGGTTCCCCGAGACTGGAAAGTTATTTTAGAGGTTCCTCCGTACTGCAAAAGTTGAGAGAGGCTGGTGGAGACTTACCCATAGATGGCGCACTTTCGGACAAGTCCACCATACATGGAGCATGTCCCCTTCATCTCCCCCACTGAACAAGAATGGGGTAATTTGGGATACACTTGGCTTCTCTGGCCGGAGTAAAATACCGGAGCACTTTGCATTCGGAGCATTTGGATGTGACTTGCCAAATTTTGTCTCAGCCTTCGAGAGGGAGAGATCGGTTTCCATCCAACCACCAGTGAATGCAATACAATGGGATGTCGTCATCAATGGTGTCCAAGAGGGAAGCAGAACCAGAATTTCATGAAAATAATGAGAACAGAAATGCATTCTTCCATCACAGAACGAAGATATACCCAGGGGCGGACTGACAACTCATGGGGCCCCCTACCGACCCCGGGCCCTCGGGCAGCACCGATCAGTCTGCCCCTGGGTATATGTCATCCAAAGTGAAATTTTGTCCTGTGAGTTTATGAACGCACTTAGGTCACATTTCCGGCACAACGCATTACAAATGCAATAATATATCTGAACAATAAAACCGCGAAGGAAATAAACGTAAACTCGTCTTTGTTTGATTAGAGTTCCAATTCAAACAGAATAAGTTATAATATGGACTCTGTGGGTGTAATTCCTGGGCTTGGCACCCATAAAACAGCTGCCCTTTGCTTATCAGGAACATCTGCTAGGAGGAGAGACAACCGTCATACGGACAGCAGATCTGGGGGTGGAAACAGTCGGTGGGTCCATTGTGTATTGTGACATCAATATGGCGGGAGACAGCTGGAGAGTAGAGAGAGGAGAAACTCCCGCCCCAGCTGCACCCTCTCCACCCTATCCGCTGGGTCAGACCAGCCCTGATTGCTGGAACTGGGACAAAGGGAACTCTGTTCCAGGTAGACGGCTAGGAGGAGATTCTCACTTCTCGTTGTGTCTCCAGAGAGAATTGAAGGGAAATCTCCCAAATAGAATGTAGACAGCAAAAAATACAATTCTGATGGATCTGTTCCTTCTCTGTCCTATCCAAGAAAACTAAACTCAGAAACGCTTTTGTTGAGGAGAAAATAAAAATAGGAAATGTGAACGTCTCCCAGACCTCGGGCCTCCTATGGAAGAGATGGGAGCTGTGAGCAGTTTCCTCGAGTCTAGAAGTGGAACGCAAGAAAAGCCGAACCTCAGCCAAAGGAACATTTCAGCTTTGTGGTCGGTGATACATCGAGTCACATGCTGCTTTCATTAGATCTCTCGGAGAATGCAGCAAACGACCGTAATGTGCAGCAACGTCCGTAATGTGCAGCAAGGACCGGAATCTGCAGCAACGACCGGAATGTGCAGCAACGACCGGAATCTGCAGCAACGACCGGAATCTGCAGCAAGGACCGGAATGTGCAGCAACGACCGGAATCTGCAGCAACGACCAGAATGTGCAGTAATGACCGGAATGTGCAGCAACGACCGGAATGTGCAGCAACGTCCGAAATCTGCAGCAAGGACCGGAATCTGCAGCGACGTCCAGAATCTGCAGCAAGGACCGGAATCTGCAGCAACGACCGGAATGTGCAGCAACGACCGGAATGTGCAGCGACAACCGGAATCTGCAGCGACGACCGGAATGTGCAGCGACGACCGGAATCTGCAGCAACGACCGGAATGTGCAGCAACGACCGGAATCTGCAGCAACGTCCGGAATCTGCAGCAACGTCCGAAATCTGCAGCAAGGACCGGAATTTGCAGCGACGACCGGAATCTGCAGCGACGACCGGAATCTGCAGCGACGACCGGAATGCGCAGCGCCGACCGGAATGCGCAGCGACGACCGGAATGCGCAGCGACGACCGGAACGTGCAGCAAGGACCGGAACCTGCAGCAAGGACCGGAACCTGCAGCAATGACCGGAATCTGCAGCAACGACCGGAATCTGCAGCAACGACCGGAATCTGCAGCAACGACTGGAATCTGCAGCAACGACCGGAATCTGCAGCTACGACCGGAATCTGCAGCAACGACTGCAATCTGCAGCAACGACCGGAATCTGCAGCAACGACCGGACTCTGCAGCAACGACCGGAATCTGCAGCAACGACCGGAATCTGCAGCAACGACCGGAATCTGCAGCAACGACCGGAATCTGCAGCTACGACCGGAATCTGCAGCAACGACTGCAATCTGCAGCAACGACCGGAATCTGCAGCAACGACCGGACTCTGCAGCAACGACCGGACTCTGCAGCAACGACCGGACTCTGCAGCAACGACCGGACTCTGCAGCAACGTCCGGAATCTGCAGCAACGACCGGAATCTGCAGCAACGACCGGAATCTGCAGCAACGACCGGAATCTGCAGCAACGTCCGAAATCTGCAGCAAGGACCGGAATCTGCAGCGACGTCCAGAATCTGCAGCAAGGACCGGAATCTGCAGCAACGACCGGAATGTGCAGCGACGACCGGAATGTGCAGCGACAACCGGAATCTGCAGCGACGACCGGAATCTGCAGCGACGACCGGAATCTGCAGCAACGACCGGAATGTGCAGCAACGACCGGAATCTGCAGCAACGTCCGGAATCTGCAGCAACGTCCGAAATCTGCAGCAAGGACCGGAATTTGCAGCGACGACCGGAATCTGCAGCGACGACCGGAATCTGCAGCGACGACCGGAATGCGCAGCGCCGACCGGAATGCGCAGCGACGACCGGAATGCGCAGCGACGACCGGAACGTGCAGCAAGGACCGGAACCTGCAGCAAGGACCGGAACCTGCAGCAATGACCGGAATCTGCAGCAACGACCGGAATCTGCAGCAACGACCGGAATCTGCAGCAACGACTGGAATCTGCAGCAACGACCGGAATCTGCAGCTACGACCGGAATCTGCAGCAACGACTGCAATCTGCAGCAACGACCGGAATCTGCAGCAACGACCGGACTCTGCAGCAACGACCGGAATCTGCAGCAACGACCGGAATCTGCAGCAACGACCGGAATCTGCAGCAACGACCGGAATCTGCAGCTACGACCGGAATCTGCAGCAACGACTGCAATCTGCAGCAACGACCGGAATCTGCAGCAACGACCGGACTCTGCAGCAACGACCGGACTCTGCAGCAACGACCGGACTCTGCAGCAACGTCCGGAATCTGCAGCAACGACCGGAATCTGCAGCAACGACCGGAATCTGCAGCAATGACCGGAATCTGCAGCAACGAACGGAATCTGCAGCAACGGCCGGAATCTGCAGCAAGGACTGGAATCTGCAGCAAAGACCAGAATCTGCAGCAATGGCTGGAATCTGCAGCAATGACCGGAATCTGCAGCAACGTCCGGAATCTGCAGCAACGACCGGAATCTGCAGCAACGACCGGAATCTACAGCAACGGCCGGAATCTGCAGCAAGGACCAGAATCTGCAGCAACGACCGGAATCTGCAGCAATGGCCGGAATCTGCAGCAACGGCCGGAATCTGCAGCAACGGCCGGAATGTGCAGCAATGGCCGGAATCTGCAGCAACGGCCGGAATCTGCAGCAACGGCCGGAATGTGCAGCAATGACAAAAAGGACCGGAATCTGCAGCAAGGACCGGAATCTGCAGCAATGTCCGGAATCTGCAGCAAGGATCAGAATCTGCAGCAATGACCGGAATCTGCAGCAACGGCCGGAATGTGCAGCAATGACAGAAAGGACCGGAATCTGCAGCAAGGACCGGAATCTGCAGCAATGTCCGGAATCTGCAGCAAGGATCAGAATCTGCAGCTACGGCCGGAATCTGCAGCACCCGGACACCATGACAAAGCTCAGCGGTGTCACCCTTCCTTGATGGATCCACCATACTGAAAAACAAACGATTGGCCCAGAAAAGGACGAGTGACACCTCTGCTGCGGTCTGGTTGGGCAGAACAGAGACACAAACTAGACATTTTAAGTCAAAACTAGGAAGATAATTTTGTTATTCGGAGATTCGGATTTATCTGAATTTCCGACTCAAAATAGTAACGAACTTCAACGAAGGCGAAAACAAATTCTAATGAAATGAGTTATTTGAATTCGAAAAGGACTTTGAAATTTGAAAATGAATTTGAATTGGAAACATATTAATACAGTCAGGTGTAGCAGTGAAATGTGACGATTCCGACTTAGGCTGCGAATAGAATAGAACAGAATCCAATAAACAGAACGGAATGGAATAGATTGGAATAGAACGGCTATAACCAGCTTTCAAAATCTGAATTTCAAATCAATTATAAAATAACAAATTTACAAAATGAATTCCGAAAATGAATCATTCTGACATAACGAATACGATGAGACGAAGTTATTAACTGAACGAACGATTCCGAAAAACCCCCCAAATGTTCTGTCGTGCAGCTTCAATGCAATCTACGGCAGCAACGTCTGTTCATTTGTGTCTCCGAGAAGAATGAGATATCAGAAGCCGATGAACTTCCACTTTGGGGTAGAAAAAGGGCCCTAAATCCAGAAGAAACCCAACTTGGATTCTTATCGATGTCACCTCCCCCCGGGGGGGGGGGGGTCCATGAAATCCCGGGTCCCATCCGCCTGGCTGCTGCCTATATCCAGCCAGAGATGGAGAGAATTCCAAATTCCCAGGAAAAGTCTTAAGAAGATTTATAGAACGTTTGAATGTCGCTTCAAAGATTTCACTTTCAACATTTAATATTGGAATGAATTGACTTTACTGTATCTGCTCCCCCCGGACCCCGCATTCACTGTATCCCCTCCCCCCGGACCCCGCATTCACTGTATCCGCTCTCCCCGGACCCCGCATTCACTGTATCCGCTCTCCCCGGACCCCGCATTCACTATATCCCCTCCGGATCCCGCTCTCCCCGGACCCCGCATTCACTGTATCCGCTCTCCCCGGACCCCGCATTCACTGTATCCGCTCTCCCCGGACCCCGCATTCACTGTATCCGCTCCCCCCGGACCCCGCATTCCCTATATCCGCTCTCCCCGGACCCCGCATTCCCTATATCCGCTCTCCCCGGACCCCGCATTCCCTATATCCGCTCTCCCCGGACCCCGCATTCACTATATCCGCTCTCCCTGGACCCCGCATTCCCTATATCCGCTCTCCCCGGACCCCGCATTCACTATATCCGCTCTCCCCGGACCCCGCATTCACTATATCCGCTCTCCCCGGACCCCGCATTCCCTATATCCCCTCTCCCCCGGACCCCGAATTCCCTATATCCTCCCCGCCCTCCCCGGACCCCGCATTCACTGTATCCGGTCTCCCCGGACCCCGCATTCACTATATCCGCTCTCCCCGGACCCTGCATTCACTGTATCCGCTCTCCCCGGACCCCGCATTCGCTATATCCGCTCTCCCCCCCGGACCCCGCATTCCCTATATCCGCTCTCCCCGGACCCCGCATTCACTATATCCGCTCTCCCCGGACCCCGCATTCACTATATCCGCTCTCCCCGGACCCCGCATTCACTATATCCGCTCTCCCCGGACCCCGCATTCACTATATCCGCTCTCCCCGGACCCCGCATTCACTATATCCGCTCTCCCCGGACCCCGCATTCACTATATCCCCTCTCCCCGGACCCCGCATTCACTATATCCGCTCTCCCCGGACCCCGCATTCACTATATCCGCTCTCCCCGGACCCCGCATTCACTATATCCCCTCTCCCCGGACCCCGCATTCACTATATCCCCTCTCCCCGGACCCCGCATTCACTGTATCCGCTCCGCTCTCCCCGGACCCCGCATTCGCTGTATCCGGTCTCCCCGGACCCCGCATTCACTATATCCGCTCTCCCCGGACCCTGCATTCACTGTATCCGCTCTCCCCGGACCCCGCATTCGCTATATCCGCTCTCCCCGGACCCCGCATTCCCTATATCCGCTCTCCCCGGACCCCGCATTCACTATATCCGCTCTCCCCGGACCCCGCATTCACTATATCCGCTCTCCCCGGACCCCGCATTCACTATATCCGCTCTCCCCGGACCCCGCATTCACTATATCCGCTCTCCCCGGACCCCCCCGCATTCACTATATCCGCTCTCCCCGGACCCCGCATTCACTATATCCCCTCTCCCCGGACCCCGCATTCACTATATCCCCTCTCCCCGGACCCCGCATTCCCTATATCCGCTCTCCCCAGACCCCGCATTCACTATATCCGCTCTCCCCGGACCCCGCATTCACTATATCCGCTCTCCCCGGACCCCGCATTCCCTATATCCGCTCTCCCCGGACCCCGCATTCACTATATCCGCTCTCCCCGGACCCCGCATTCACTATATCCGCTCTCCCCGGACCCCGCATTCACTATATCCGCTCTCCCCGGACCCCGCATTCACTATATCCGCTCCCCCCGGACCCCGCATTCACTATATCCGCTCTCCCCGGACCCCGCATTCACTATATCCGCTCTCCCCGGACCCCGCATTCACTGTATCCGACCTCCTAGAAAGGGATCACGTTGATGCAGTTGGGCGGCATTATATGCCAACCTAGGATCCCCGATTTGTACATTCTGGACGGGTCTGTAGAGGGATAATGATTGGCTGTACAGGTTCTGCTTCTAACCAATGACATGTCTGTTACCTGCAGGGTGAACGGCGCCATTACAGCGGGCTTCGAAAAGGACGTTGGCAATCGCACTTCCTTCTATTTCTTTGGCACGAACACCATGATGAACTCATTTATGGCCTATGGGCACCGAGGGTTCAAGAGTGTCCCCCACACAGAGAGGTAACCCCGACCCTGGAGACATCTTCCCCTCCCCCACTCCATCCTCTCACTACGAATTTCAAGTACCCCACATATGGGCCAAGTATGGAACCAATACCCCCCCCTTGTGTCAGAGGAACCTCCAGGATTTTCATTGGTTCTACAGAACAGAAACTCTCATTTTTGAAAATTTTCAGGAAAGAAATGTATACACTGACACCAACGATGGGGCGCTATTACCCCCCCCCCCCCCACTGACACCAACGATGGGGCACTATTACCCCCCCCCACTGACACCAATGATGGGGCGCTATTACCCCCCCCCACTGACACCAATGATGGGGCGCTATTACCCCCCCCACTGACACCAATGATGGGGCGCTATTACCCCCCCCACTGACACTAATGATGGGGCGCTATTACCCCCCCCCACTGACACCAATGATGGGGCGCTATTACCCCCCCCCCCCCACTGACACTAATGATGGGGCGCTATTACCCCCCCCCCCACTGACACCAATGATGGGGCACTATTCCTCCCACTGACACCAATGATGGGACACTATTCCTCCCACTGACACCAATGACGGAGCACTATTCCTCCCACTGACACCAACGATGGGGCACTATTCCTCCCACTGATACCAATGATGGGGCACTATTCCTCCCACTGACACCAATGATGGGGCACTATTCCTCCCACTGACACCAATGATGGGGCACTATTCCTCCCACTGACACCAATGATGGGGCACTATTCCTCCTACTGACACCAATTATGGGACACTATTCCTCCTACTGACACCAATTATGGGACACTATTCCTCCTACTGACACCAATTATGGGGCACTATTCCTCCTACTGACACCAATTATGGGACACTATTCCTCCCACTGACACCAATGATGGGGCACTATTCCTCCCACTGACACCAATGATGGGGCACTATTCCTCCCACTGATACCAATGATGGGGCACTATTCCTCCCACTGACACCAATGATGGGGCACTATTCCTCCCACTGACACCAACGATGGGGCACTATTCCTCCCACTGACACCAATTATGGGGCACTATTCCTCCTACTGACACCAATGATGGGACACTATTCCTCCCACTGACACCAATGATGGGGCGCTATTCCTCCCACTGACACCAATGACGGGACGCTATTCCCCCCACTGACACCAATGATGGGGCGCTATTCCTCCCACTGACACCAATGACGGGACGCTATTCCTCCCACTGACACCAATGATGGGGCGCTATTCCTCCCACTGACACCAATGATGGGGCACTATTCCTCCCACTGACACCAATGATGGGGCACTATTCCTCCCACTGACACCAATGATGGGGCACTATTCCTCCCACTGGCACCAATGATGGGGCACTATTCCTCCCACTGACACCAATGATGGGGCACTATTCCTCCCACTGACACCAATGATGGGGCACTATTCCTCCCACTGACACCAATGATGGGGCACTATTCCTCCCACTGACACCAATGATGGGACACTATTCCCCCCACTGACACCAATGATGGGACACTATTCCTCTCACTGACACCAATGATGGGGCACTATTCCTCCCACTGACACCAATGATGGGGCACTATTCCTCCCAGTGACACCAATGATGGGGCACTATTCCTCCCACTGACACCAATGATGGGGCACTATTCCTCCCACTGACACCAATGATGGGGCACTATTCCTCCCACTGACACCAATGATGGGGCACTATTCCTCTCACTGACCCCAGGAAAGTTTCTACTCCAGCTGCCCACAATCCAGCCCCCCCAAAGCCTGAAGCAGAGTAATCTGGCCCTGTGTTTGGAGACCCCTGTCCTAGAGGAAGCTCCGACATGTTACTCCAGGGATGGAGGAAAGTTCAGAAAACCTCACTTTTCAAATTTCCAGACAACAAATAATAGATCACTTATTCTGCGCCTCCCCTTTATATTTGGGGCATATTCCGGGTGGTTTGATCCGTTTTGTGGGGCGTCCTCTGTATTTGGACTCATTTCCATTGTATCCATAGAGAGGAAATGGTTTATTATGACAGTCATGGTTGGGGGGGGGGGGGGGGGGGTACGATATTCGTGTATTAATCTGTGTATGGTCCGTCGTATTGTGAATGCCGCCCCTCCCCCCCCTCCTGGCTGTACTATGATGGACACATTTCCATCCCCATCTTCCTGACCAGATCCCGGAGGATACAGAGCATCCCAGATCCTGGAAGACGATGGTCCAGCACAGGGCGGGATCACCAACTTGTGACATTTGGGCTGCCCAGTATTCCACGGGATCTCCCCAGAAGGATGGTGGCGCCCACCAAGTGGGGTAAAGTACGTAGAAATAACTTGTCTGAATGGCAGCACCTTGTCCTATGGGGGGAGGAGTCATAGGAAATGGGAGGAGGAGTCATAGGAAATGGGGGGGAGGAGTCATAGGAAATGGGCGGGCTGTCTTCTGATCACTTTTACGTGCCGAAATCAAGTCTCTGGTAGCTACAAGTGCAGGTCTGTTCCACCATGAATGGCGGCCAGGATTTCATCAAATTCCCAGAATCCCCCCAAAAATTTAAAATGTTGCAAATGAGGAATTTTGGAAAACCAAAAAAAAAGATCATTTTCAATTACAGAGGTGAGATGAGTTTTAATTAGAACTTGAGGAAGGGGGGGTGGTAAATCTGTGTGGGCATGGCCTTTAAATCCCGCCTTCACTTTGCATGTCATCTACCGCCCGCAGGAAACCCGCTTCGTCCTCCTCCCGGATCACGACAGAGATTATTTACTGGTCAGAGCCGCCCTCACCAACAGAATCATCGACCGCGGCCGGGACAAAGGCAAAGAGTGAGTAGACCGACCCCCCCATCCAATCGCCATCTCTCTGGGGGGCCCGCCGTACACGATGGGGACCATTTATAAAACAAATCCTGCACTTTTGTGGTGCGTTGAGCTGCGATTTCGGTCCCTATAAAAAGTACGTCTCACATTGCACCGCACAGAAATCGCATGGGATCTGCAGAGGATCGCTGCGCTGTTCCCGTGTCAATCACATGTGCCACGCCGCAGTGTGACCCTGAGCTTCAGCTGAACATACATGCAGCAATTTTCAACAAGGTCAGGTTATGTGACGTCATGCAGCCGGCACTGGAGTGCCATGAAGTGGCTGCAAAGAGGCTGCAGGAGATCCGCAGCACGGAAATCGCCATGGCTGTGTCCTCTTCATAGAGCGCGGATTTCGCACCACAGAAACGCAGTCCAGGTGCATTCCGGTGCATGTTTGGTGCGCTCCAGTGCATTCCGATGCATGTTTGGTGCGCTCCAGTGCATTCCGGTGCATGTTTGGGGCGCTCCAGTGCATTCCGGTGCATGTTTGGGGCGCTCCAGTGCATTCCGGTGCATGTTTGGTGCGCTCCAGTGCATTCCGGTGCATGTTTGGGGCGCTCCAGTGCATTCCGGTGCATGTTTGGGGCGCTCCAGTGCATTCCGATGCATTTGTGATGCGTTTTACTGCGTTCCAGTACAGTTCAGTGCAGAAAAAAATGCAGCCTGTTCTACTTTTTTTCTGGCACTGACTGCACTGGTGTGAACTACGCCATTGGATACCATGTAACTTACTGTCAATGCGTTCTGAATGCAGAAAAATAAAAATGCCTCGGACTGCATGGAGTGTGAACTGACGCTATGGGTTGTCGCTGAATTCTCTGACAATCGCTCTTCTCTTCCACAGCCCAGCGCGCGCTATTTTGGCAAGAACCTGACCACAGAACACTTCAAGATCCTGCACCCGGACTTCATGCGTTACCTGAGGAACAGGTGAGTCCCCGCCCCCCCCCCCTCTGGACTGTCCGGGACAGACATCCCGCAGGTCAGCTGACCTGTACCGGCCCCCCCACTCCTCTCTGCGGAGCCATCCCAGTGGAATTGGAGGCCATTGATTGTCTGCAAAGGGATTTCCCATCACTGGAGAGATTTCCTCTCACTTCCTGCCGTGTCTCCAAGACAGAAGGAAAGGGAAATTTTCCCAACAGGATGCAGACAGTGAAGAAAAAAATAACAAGTGGCTTTACCACCCCCCACTCTGATCCCAACCTAAAATATTGGCTCAGGAAATGCTTTACACGTCTCTTAGCGATGCGGGTACAAGAATCAGCGACATTGTGTCCACTGCGGACTGCGAGCCGCCATTCATGGAGCAAATCTGTCTGCAACAATGACTCCTGTCCAGAAGGGAGTCAGCAGCTCCGCTTCCCCTTCCAGCAGCGACTCGGCAGCTACGCTCCCCCTTCCAGCAGCGACTCGGCAGCTCCGCTCCCCCTTCCAGCAGCGACTCGGCAGCTACGCTCCCCCTTCCAGCAGCGACTCGGCAGCTCCACTCCCCATTCCAGCAGCGACTCAAGAGCTCCGCTCCCCCTTCCAGCAGCGACTCGGCAGCTCTGCTCCCCCTTCCAGCAGCAACTCGGCAGCTCCGCTCCCCCTTCCAGCAGCAACTCGGCAGCTCCGCTCCCCCTTCCAGCAGGGACTCGGCAGCTCCGCTCCCCCTTCCAGCAGTAACTCGCCAGCTCCGCTCCCCCTTCCAGCAGCGTCTCAGCAGCTCTGCTCCCCCTTCCAGCAGCGACTCAGCAGCTCGGCTCCCCATTCCAGCAGCAATTCGGAAGTTCCACTCCCCTTTCCAGCACCGACTTGGCAGCTCAGCTTCCCCTTCCAGCAGTGACTCGGCAGCACAGCTCTCCTTGATGTAAGGAGGGACTCTGATGGGGACCCTGATATAAGGGGGGGACTCCGATGGGGACACCTGATATAAGGGGGGGGGGACTCTGATGGGGACACCTGATGTAAGAGGGGGGGACTCTGATGGGGACACCTGATGTAAGAGGGGGGGACTCTGATGGGGACACCTGATATAAGGGGGGGACTCTGATGGGGACACCTGATATAAGGGGGGGACTCCGATGGGGACACCTGATATAAGGGGGGGGACTCTGATGGGGACACCTGATATAAGGGGGGGACTCCGATGGGGACACCTGATACAAGGGGGGGGGACTCTAATGGGGACACCTGATGTAAGAGGGGGGACACCTGTCCAGGGGATCCAGTAGATCCAGGAACAACAGCCATCTTGGTCCCCCTCAGTCATCAGAAGCAGGTAGTGCCGTCCAGTTTGGGGGGCTAAAGTGGCTGAGGAGAGTGAAGGTCGACTCTAAAAGTGCGATCCAAAGATCAATGATGTATTACAACTATCAGCCATTTACGGCTCTATTCAGCCAAGATCATCGGCCCGGCCTGAGCCTCAGCCACAAGTTGGGTCATTGATGTCCTACAGACCACAGAAGACACAAGTCCTCGGAATAGTCGGAGGATCTGGTTATCACACGGAGATGTTTTGTAACTTCTTAGAAACTCTGCAATCAGACTCGACCTTTAGTCTTGAAGAGAACTTGGGAATCGATCGTTCATTCGCTGCTCTGGTGAAGAAACCTGCGACACAGAGCATCAGGTCCCAGTATGTTCCAGGAGGAGATCGCCCTGCTTGACGTCGTCTGCAGAATGCTGTGTCTGCCAGTCTATGGCCATCCTAAAGATACCATAGAAAGCTGCCCAATATTGAGCGTGTGCCAGCCCCCCCCCCCCCCCCCCCCCCCCCCCCCCCCCCCCCCCCCATTTCATGCCCATGATCTCTTTTTGGCAATGGATCCCCTCCCTTTTCCATGGCCTTAAGCCCCAGCACCAACTTATTGAAGGATCAAACATCGGTCCAGGGTGGTCAGTCTGTCAGTACCTGCTGGCGCAGCCATCTCTAATATCTAAAGTAGTCAACAGACTTCACAGCCAGATCAATAAACCGAATGCCAGATGATCGTCTCAAGTCCATGATCCTTTATTATTGGTGACAACAGGAAGAACAGGGCTATTCCAACGCGTTTCGGGGACCCAAGTCATCCCTCTTCACCAGGGCTTGGGCAAAGCTTCTCATTTTCTCTGATACCAGAATCTTGAAAAAATCCAAATGGGACGGCATGGTTGGGTCTTCTGAGACGTTGCCCTCTGAGAGAGGAGTCCGAGAAACATTGACATTAAGTCCAACCCTGATGAAGGGATTACGTGGTCCCCGAAAGGTGATGGATACAGCGGCTCTTCCTGCTGTCACATCATCACCAATAATAAAGGGGTATGGGCTTTTGAGATGATCACTTGGATATCAGCCCCTCCATAGTGCGCTAAACTCTGTTTTGTGGGCTTGAGCGTCCAGCGCCAGGTCAGCGTCCTGCGGCCATCTTGTATTTGACAAGATTAAAATCTGAGTCCAGAGCCTCACGCTTGTTTTCTACTTGGATTACAGACTTTAGAGGGAATTTGAATATTGAAGCTTGACCAGACAATGAAAGGTCTTCCCACAGATCCATAGAATAGGCCAATTTTGGCCCACGGAAAAGCGAGAGCTCAACCCCCCCCAACGCTGGTGGCTTTTTTTGGAGGAAATTATTATAATTGGCCAACTGATTCTTTGGAGCTGATTGGCTAATGACTGCTGACCAATCCAGAAGGTAACAGCAGATGATGTTCCTTTGGTAAGCATCTTGAAGGTGGCCACAGAAGGCTCAGTAACTACCAGCCACGCTCCCAATTTTGTAATCATTGGTGGGTCTCTAGGATACAAACTGTCAGTATGACGCAATGGGTGGAGCCTGGGCTGAGACAAACTACATTGGTGGAAAGTATGGCGTAGTCCAGATCGTCAGGATGAATCCTACGGCTTTACGAAGTTCTGACGAATCCAATTCAGCACAATTAACACAACACGTCTGAGAGACTGAAGAGATCTCTACGTGGAGAACAAGCAGAAAGTACGGCGAGCGCAGACCAAGTGTAGTCGGGGGAAAACGTTTATCAAAAGGAAGACAATTAGCAGCTTATATTAAGTGAGACGAATTCTGCTGATCTTATCATGGCTCTCAAAAGGATTCCCAGCTGGGGAGGACACCAAAGAACCTGTCAAAAAGGATTCCCAGCTGGGGAGGACACCAAAGAACCTGTCACAAAGGATTCCCAGCTGGGGAGGACACCAAAGAACCTGTCAAAAAGGATTCCCAGCTGGGGAGGACACCAAAGAACCTGCCACAATGGATACATATGGTGTGGATGGCAAACACAAAGAAAACTGTCCAACCAGCCTGCAACCAACCAAATTGTCCTGTCTAACCGGTCAGTCTATCCATCCTGATACATCAGCTTCTACTATGGAGGCTCCCAAAATGTATAGAATTAGGTCTGCAAAAATACTGGGGTGCCATCAGGGGCGGACTGACAACTCATGGGGCCCCCGGGCAATAGGGGATCATGGGGCCCCTGTGTCCTTGCCCAAACTCAAAAAAAGCCTATGAAAAAGGTACCAGGGGCATCTCATGGGCCCCCTACTGACCCTGGGCCCTCGGGCAATGCCCGAGTTTCCAAATGGTCAGTCCGCCCCTGGGTGCCATGAAGAGCTTACGCATGCTAATGAGTGCAAACTAAAACCCTCGTTTGTAACACAAGCGGTTGGACAGGGCAATTCGGTTGGTTGCAGGCTGGTCGGTGAGTGAGCTGGGAATTTGTCTTTGTTGTTGTTTGACACGCGTCGCCCTTCCATGTGCTGCTTGCTGCGAAGGCCACTTATAGATTGGGGTGGTGGCCATTTGTCTTCTGTACGAAGGTCTGGATGGCACCTGCAATAGCTAAGAGACACAGCAAGGGGACACCAACCTAAGTGCAGCAAGGTGGAGAGGTGGACGCAGCACACGATTGGTAGCTCACGGAGTGTCAATGATCTCATGCATTACAGCCATTGGTGTAGCTGGGAGGAGGAGGCGGCATCCAGGATCTCAAGATGGAGCAAGGGGTGGAGTGTGGTGGCCAGGGTGATCAGGTAGCCTGAGGACAGGAAGCAGCATGTGTGCATCAATGGAGCACAGGCGAGGACAGGAAATGATGAAACAGGAAGTGATGTTGGGGGGGGGTGACAACATGTTTCGAAGCTGACCCCTCCTTTTCAAACCACTAGGCCTCCTATGGTCAAAAGCCTTCATTACTGCAAAAGGAGAGTTTGCAGCTTGTTGGACAAATTCCCGATCTCGATTATTCCTTCTTCTGGACCACGGGTGTCAAACTGGGGGCCCTTCAGCTGTTGCCAAACTACAAGTCCCATGAGGCATTGCAAGATTGACAGTTACAAGCATGACTCCCAGAGGCATGATGGGACTTGTAGTTTGGCAACAGCTGAAGGGCCACCAGTTTGACACCCGTAGTCTAGACTCTTTTCAGAGACGGCTGTCAGCACCATCCAAGGACAGATAAATATCTTCCCAAGGAAAGATCTGCCCCACAAAGCCATGTGTGACCTCAGGGTCAGAGAACGGGTCTGAGCTCCCCGGCCCTTTTCATTTTCCTGGGATAAAGAAGAAATGAAGATAAAATTCCTCCATTCTGTCTATTGATTCGCTTTGCATCTTATCGGCTGTACAATGAAAAGTCAATATTAGACGCATGGGCGTTCCTCAATGTGACCTCTGGGCCCCGTAAGCCACATGGCCATATCAGTCCACACCCAACCGAGCGCAAAACAGGCAATATGCTGGCAGAACGCAATGTCAGGATTGTCCGCTAAAAGGGAAGTTCCTGCTAGACGCGTTTCGTCTTTTTTGGACAAAAATGAGACTTTCAGAAATTCAGATGTCTACAAATCTCCAAATGGACAAACTGATGAAAACCGAAACCCCCCCAAAAAGTTATAACAAAACGAATGAACACGCTGGTTCCATTCGGATGGCATCACATGACGTGATGGTAGTTCAGGCCCATGGGGAAAGGAATTCAATTTTCACATTTGTTTGATAATTGGATTCGGATAACAAATGGATCTGAATTTTGTTCCATTAGTTCATTCTGATGCACATAACACCTGTTGATATTGTCCAATCAGCTCACGCCATTTCTCTTGGTGGGTTGGACTAGCGTCCGAAAATATTGAATCCTTCCAATTTGAATCCATCCGATATACACTATCTGGGGGGTCCATACAATCCTCCATCTGGGGGGGTCCGTACAATCCTCCATCTGGGGGGGTTCGTGCAATCCTCCATCTGGGGGGTCCGTACAATCCTCCATCTGGGGGGGTTCGTGCAATCCTCCATCTGGGGGGTCCGTACAATCCTCCATCTGGGGGGGTCCCTACAATCCTCCATCTGGGGGGTTCGTGCAATCCTCCATCTGGGGGGTCCGTACAATCCTCCATCTGGGGGGTCCGTACAATCCTCCATCTGGGGGGGTCCCTACAATCCTCCATCTGGGGGGTCCGTACAATCCTCCATCTGGCGGGTCCGTACAATCCTCCATCTGGGGGGGGTCCTGGGTCCGTACAATCCTCCATCTGGGGGGGGGGGTCCGGGGTCCGTACCAATAGTTCTGTATTGCCTCGCCCACCCGCTGACATTTCCACTGACAGATTCTCATCCTTCTCAGGTTCCTCTGGGCCCCCATCCTGAACACCAACAACCGGGACATCTACCGACCGTCCACCGGAGCCGCCATTCTCCTGGCTGCTATACACACCTGTGACCAGGTGAGGGAGCTCTTCATTAAGAACATTTCCCACTGGAGCCAACCAATTCCGGCCAACCAACATCTCACCAAAACCACATCGACCAATCAGCATCTGTCAGTTTCTGTTTCAGAGCCAATCAGAATGTTTCAGTTATTCAGTTCAAAAAAAAAAAACACATTGGGCATGAAAGGTTCATTATTTTTCATTTCACCAAATGCATGTCAGGTGTTCAGTTTAGATCTTCCATATATTATAAAAAAAAAAAAAAAAAAAACCCCAAAAACAAAAAGAAAAAAACCAGGCGGACTTGATGGACCAAACGGTCTTTTTCTGCCGTCACTTTTCTATGTTTCTTATATACCATAACAAGTGATCTCTGCAGACCGGATTACAGACTTCATCCCGCCATCATATTACACACAACATGAAAAATGCAGCAATAAATTGTTATTTTGGGGGGTTTAGGGGGGTACGGTCACCGGTTAATTATTATTTTATTACTACAAGTATTTATTTCTGATTATTTTTATTTGTGTATTTATTTTACATGAATTTTAAAAAAATTATTATTATTAATGTATTTTTTGTTCGGGTTTAGGTGTTTATTTTTTATTATTATTGTTATTAATAATAATATAATAATAATAATAAACATTTTTAGGGGTTATTTATTATTATATAGTATTTATGATTGTTTTTTACATTTGTTTATTATTTCATTATATGTTAATTTATTATGATCATCATCACCCAACCCCAACAAAAAAAAATAAATAAGAAGAAAATAATAAATAAAACACTAACCCCAAACCAAACCTAACAAAAAACAAAATAATAATAAATTAATAATAATTATAAGAAGAAGAAAAAATGAAAAAAAAGAGATAAAAGCAGAAACACTCGGCAACAAATGATGTAACAGATGAGATTTTTCTCTATTGGCTAATAAAAAAAATGCCAAAGCTCAAAATCTGCTAAAAACGTTGTATAAAAATGCGCATAAATCGCGGTAAAATCTGCACTTTAGGGCTCCGTTCACACGGGGTTTCTGGAACAGCTGAGAGCGCGGGAAATGCGCCGGTCGCCACGAGTCGCAGAAACGCATTGTGATTGTGGTGCCGCAGGTTGTTCATGGCTCCCCAAACAACAAAACGCACAATGAAAACACGACGCGCTGTACGTTTGGGGGGGGGCTTCTGCGGCATATACAGGGGAGAGAATACGGGGGGGGGGAGAATACAGGGGGGGGGGGGAGAATACAGGAGGGAGGATGCAGGGGGAGAAAGCAGGGTGGGAGAATGCAGGGGGGAGAATACGGGGGGGGAATACAGGGGGGGGGGGAATGCAGGGGGAGAATACGGGGGGGGGGGAGAATACAGGGGGGGGGAATGCAGGGGGGAGAATACGGGGGGGGGAATGCAGGGGGGAGAATACGGGGGGGAGAATACAGGGGGGGGGGAATGCAGGGGGAGAATACGGGGGGGGAGAATACAGGGGGGGGAATGCAGGGGGAGAATACAGGGGGGGGGGGAATGCAGGGGGGAGAATACGGGGGGGAGAAATACAGGGGGGGGGGAATGCAGGGGGAGAATACGGGGGGGGGGGAGAATACAGGGGGGGGGAATGCAGGGGGAGAATACAGGGGGGGGAATGCAGAGGGAGAATACAAGGGGGAGAATGTGGGGGGAATATGGGGGGGGGAGAATACGGAGGGGAGATGCAGGGGGGGAGAGAATACAGGGGGGGGGATTGGGGGGGAGAATACAGGGAGGATGCAGGGGGAGAGAATACAGGGGGGGGGGGATTGGGGGGGAGAATACAGGAGGGAGGATGCAGGGGGAGAAAGCAGGGGGGAGAATACAGGGGGGGGGGAGGAATACAGTGAGGATGCAGGTGGAGAATGCAGGGGGGAAATACAGGAGGAGGAATACGGGGGGGGGGGTGCAGGATGCAGGGGGGGAGTGCAGGGGGAGGATGCAGGGGGGGGGTGCAGGGGGAGGATGCAGGGTGACACCCGCTATTGCCGTTCCCGGGTCCCGGTCCTTGGGCGGGACTGCACAGCCGTGGAAACGTGGAAGTGATTGGTGGGCTGTATAGCCGCATGATTGCTTCCACCTGACCGCCCGCCGTAGGGAACGCCCCCTCTGATGAGTGACAGATTTTTGCGGCAGGTAAAGGGAGGAAGGAGATTGTACAATCAGATTGCATGGTGTATGTCCATCCAACATCCTATTAACCCTTCTGTCTGCCATTCCAGGTCAGCGCCTACGGCTTCATGACCCCCAACTATGAGAAGTTCTCCGATCATTACTATGACACCACCTACAATAAGGTGACATTCTACGCCAACCACAATTTCAGGAAAGAGATGGAGTTGTGGCAGCAGCTGCACAGAGCGGGTGTCATCACCCTCTACATGAGGGGACTGAGCGGGCGACAATGGACCCCGGAAACCTGGGAACCCCAAATCCGGGAACTGGAAGACGGGAACACAGCCAGCTCTTCCCCCCCCCCATCCACATCACCAGCACTGGCAATGCCAGGACTGCCGCCACATCATGTCTGTGTGGAGGACCGAGAGGAAACGACTTTCCTGGTTACACTCGATTTAAAGGGGGGACACCACCCCGAAGTGACATTTTATCTGTAGGTGGAGCCTGGCGGGCTGCCAGCTTCTTATATAATAGGATGCTCCAGCAGTGAGATCTCCGGGGGTCCTCCCGACTGCAATCCTGTCCGCCTCTGTGCGTCCCGATACATTCCCCATAACATTAATGGTAGGAACCCCTCATAATGGGCACAGGGATGGTGGGAACCCCTCATAATGGGCACAGGGATGGTGGGAACCCCTCATAATGGGCACAGGGATGGTGGGAACCCCTCATAATGAGCACAGGGATGGTGGGGACCCCTCATAATGGGCACAGGGATGGTGGGAACCCCTCACAATGGGCACAGGGATGGTGGGGACCCCTCACAATGGGCACAGGGATGGTTGGAACCCCTCACAATGGGGCACAGGGATGGTGGGAACCCCTCATAATGGGCACAGGGATGGTTGGAACCCCTCACAATGGGCACAGGGATGGTGGGGACCCCTCACAATGGGCACAGGGATGGTTGGAACCCCTCACAATGGGGCACAGGGATGGTGGGAACCCCTCATAATGGGCACAGGGATGGTTGGAACCCCTCACAATGGGCACAGGGATGGTGGGAACCCCTCATAATGGGCACAGGGATGGTTGGAACCCCTCACAATGGGCACAGGGATGGTGGGGACCCCTCATAATGGGCACAGGGATGGTGGGAGCCCCTCACAATTGGCACAGGGATGGTTGGAACCCCTCACAATGGGCACAGGGATGGTGGGGACCCCTCACAATGGGCACAGGGATGGTGGGAACCCCTCACAATGGGCACAGGGATGGTGGGAACCCCTCACAATGGGCACAGGGATGGTGGGGACCCCTCACAATGGGCACAGGGATGGTGGGAACCCCTCACAATGGGCACAGGGATGGTGGGAACCCCTCATAATAGGCACAGTGGGTGTACAGACCTGGGAACTCGGCACAGGGATGGTGGGAACCCCTCATAATGGGTACAGGGATGGTGGGAACCCCTCATAGTGGGTACAGGGATAGTGGGAACCCTCATAATGGGGACAGGGATGGTGGGAACCCCTCATAATGGGCACAGCGGGTGTACAGACCCCGGAACTCAGGAACCCCATTGTGGGGAGATCTCGGCTCTGGAGTTTCTGGCTTTCATCGATAAGTGAGATTTCAGACTCTCTGCAGACAAATATAAAATGCTAAAAGAAAATCGTTAAAATCAGCGACAACCGATTGGAGGCAGAGGGGAGATCAGAGGGAGGTCAGAGGGAGGTCAAAGGGAGGTCAGAGGGACGTCAGATGGAGATCAGAGGGAGGTCAGAGGGAGGTCAGAGAGAGATCAGTGGGAGGTCAGAAGGAGATCAGCCGGAGGTCAGAGGGAGACCAGAGGGACGTAAGAGGGAGATCAGAGGGGAGATCAGCGGGAGGTCAGAAGGAGATCAGAGGGAGGTCAGAAGGAGATCAGCGGGAGGTCAGAGGGAGATCAAAGGGAGGTCAGAGGGAGATCAGGGGGAGATCAGAGGGAGATCAGCGGCACGGCAGAGGGAGGTCAGCGGGACAGCAGAGGGAGGTCAGCGGGAGATCAGGGTGAGGTCAGAGGGAGATCAGAGGGAGGTCAGCGGGAGGTAAGGGGGAGATCAGAGGGAGGTCAGAGGGAGATCAGGGTGGGGTCAGAGGGAGATCAGAGGGAGGTCAGCAGGAGGTAAGGGGGAGATCAGAGGGAGATCAGGATGAGGTCAGCGGGAGGTAAGGGGGAGATCAGAGGGAGGTCAGAGGGAGGTCAGAGGGAGATCAGGGTGAGGTCAGAGGGAGATCAGAGGGAGATCAGAGGGAGGTCAGAGGGAGGTCAGAGGGAGATCAGGGTGAGGTCAGCGGGAGGTAAGGGGGAGATCAGCGGGAGGTCAGAGGGAGATCAGGGGGAGATCAGAGGGAGGTCAGAAGGAGATCAGAGGGAGATCAGAGGGAGGTCAGAGGGAGATCAGAGGGAGGTCAGAGGGAGATCAGCGGGAGGTAAGGGGGAGATCAGAGGGAGGTCAGAGGGAGATCAGTGTGAGGTCAGAGGGAGATCAGAGGGAGGTCAGAGGGAGATCAGAGGGAGGTCAGAGGGAGATCAGAGGGAGGTCAGAGGGAGATCAGAGGATCCGGTTCCCTCCTCCATGAATTCCTCTCTCAGGGAAGGTTATTTATTGGGGATAATTCTGTGAAATGAGATATTTTGTATCAGATTTGTATTATTTATGATTAATAAATTATATTTTGGGTTTTTCTCCTTTTGCTTCATTTTGCAAAGAATTGTGAATCCGTATCAGTGAATTTGGGGAGATCACATGACGGATCAGGACGACCCCTCCCAACCCCCCCCCATCTCAGTTTTTGGACCCATTGATCCTGCCAGCAGATCCACTTCCTGTACCAGGAAGACACAACTGACACCAACGGCAATAAAAACCCGACAGGGGTTCCAACCGAAGCGAACAAAAGATTCCCCCGAGAGAGCTTCTGGATTAAGTCCCCGATCACACCGAGCGACTTGTCAGGCGATTTGATCGTTTCAGGCGTATCGTGGGGCAAACAAGGCGTTCGCCTAGGGCAGCAATTTTTAGAGGGGCGGCCCCCCCTCCCCCAAGGGGCCTGTTCAGCAGCGGCGGGCAGAGCCGCCATCAGAGGGGTACCTTACTTCGGTACTGTTGCAGGGACTCGGAGGACAGCAGGAGGATGGATGGGGGGGGGGGGGGGGCAGAGGACAGCCAGGAGCGGGGAGAGGGAGAGCCCGGAGAAGGTGAGCTGTGATGTGTTCTGTGGGATCTCCCTGCCTCCCTCCCGGCACTGACAGATCGTATGGGGGGGGGGGAGAGGAGAGAGAGGGGGGGAGGGGGAAGAGGGAGAGAGGGGGGATAGGAGGGGAGAGGAGAAGGGGGGGGGAGGAGAGGGAGAGATGGGGGGGAAGAGAAGGGGGGGAGAGAGGGGGGGAGAGAGAGAGAGGGGGGGAAGAGAGAGAGGGGGGGGAGAGGGGGGGGGGGGAGGGAGAGGGGGGGAGGAGGGAGGGGGAGGGGGGAGAGATGAGAGGGGGGGGAGGGGGGGGAGGAGGGAGGGGGGGATAGGAGGGGAGGGAGATGGGGGGGGGAGAGGAGAGAGAGAGAATAGGGGGGGGGGGAGAGAGGAGAGGGGGGGGGAGGGGGGGAGGAGAGAGAGGGAGAGGGGGGGGATGAGAGGAGGGGAGAGGAGGGGGGGGAGGAAGGGGGGAGGAGGGGGGGGGAGGGGGGGGGGAGGGGAGGGGAGAGAGGAGGGGGGGGGGAGGGGGGAGAGGAGGGGGGTGGGGAGAGAGGAGGAGGGGGGGGTAGAAGAGAGGGGGGGGGGGGGGGAGGGGGGGGGGGGGGAGAGGAGGGGGGAGAGGGGGGGGGGGGGGAGGAGGAGGGGGGGGGGGGGGGAAGGGGGGGAGGGGGGGGGGAGGAGGGGGGTGGGGGGAAGGGGGGAAAGGGGGGGGAGAGGAGGAGGGGGGGGGAGGGGGGAGAGAGGGGGGGGGGGAGGAGAGGGGGGAGGGGGATGGGGGGGGAGGAGGGGGGGGAGGGGGGAGAGGGGAGAGGGGAGGGGGGGGGGGGGAGTGGGGGGAGGGGGGGGGGGGGAGTGGGGGGGGGGGGGGGAGGGGAGGGGGAGGGGGGGAGAGGAGGGAGAGGGGGGGAGGGGAGGGAGGGGGGGGGGAGAGAGAGAGAGGAGGAGGAGGGGGGGAGGGAAGGGGGGGGGGGGAGAGGAGAGGGGGGGGGGGGGGAGAGGAGGGAGGGGGGGAGAGGGGAGGGGTGAAGGGAGGGGGGGAAGGATGGAGGGGGAGGGGGGGGGAGGAGAGAGGGGGGGGGGGGGGGGGGAGTGAGGGGGGGGGGGGGGGGAGAGAGGGGGGGAGGGGGGAGGAGGGAGGAGGGGGGGGGGGGAGGAGAGGGGTGGGGGGGGGGGAGGAGGGGGGAGGGGGAGAGGGGGGGGGAGGGGGGGGGGGGGGGGGGGGGGGGAGGGGGGGGGAGAGAGGGGGGAGAGGGAGGGGGGGAGGAGAGGGGGGGGGGAGAGGGGGGAAAGAGGGAGGGGGAGGGGGAAGGAAGGGAAAGGAAGGGGGGAGGGGGGAGAGGGGGGGGGGGGAGAGGAGGGAGAGGGGGGGAGGAGGAGAGAGAGGGGGGGGGGAGGGAGGGGGGGAAGAGGGGGGGGGAGGAGGGGGGGAGGGGGGAGAGGGAGGGTGGGGAGGGGGGGGGGGGGGGGGAAGGAGGGGGAAGGGGGGAGGGGGGGGGGGGGGGGGGGGGGGGAGGGGGGGGGGAGGGGGGGGGGGGAAGGAGGAGGGGGGGGGGGGGGAGGGGGGGGGGGGGGAGAGAGGAGGGGGGGGGGGGAGGGGGGGAGGGGGGGGGGAGGGGGGGGGGGGGGGGGGGGAAGGGGGGGGGAGGGGGGGGGGGGGAGGGGGGGGGAGGGGGAGGGGGGGGGGAGGGAGGGGGGAAGGGGGGGGAGAGAGGGGGAGGGGGGGGAGGGAGGAGGGAGGAGGGGGGGAGGGGAGAGAGGGGGGGGGGGAGGGAGGGAGGGGGGAGGGGAGGAGGGGGGGGGGGGGAGGGGGAGAGGGGGGAAGAGAGAAGGGGGGGGGGAGGGGGGGGAGAGGGAGGGGGGGGGGGTGGGGGGAGGAGAGGGAGAGGGGGAGGAGGGGGGAGGGGGAGGGGAGGGAGGAAGGAGGGGGGGGAGAGGAAGGAGGGGAGGGGGGGGAGGGAAGGGGAGAGGGGAGGGGGGGGGGGGGAGGGGAGGGGGGAGGGAGGTTAGGGGGGGGGGGGAGGTGGAGGGG